AGAGCAGCGATGTTTACGCGGAGTTTTTACTAGCAGCGATGCATAGCAAAAAATGTGATTGCTGACCTCAAGCGACGACTGTCTTCGACAAAGCCATTAGTGACGTACGCTTGAACTGTGATCAGCACGAAGCCGATTGGAACTGATTCATTAACGTTCAAATGAAGTGTTCCGTCCACATTCGAAAACCTCACACTACGTTTCTCGTCGAATTCAACTTCAATTTCTGCCGTACAATTCCGTTGAGGCGACCCAATAACTTTTGCGATCAACGACAGTGTTAAATTCGTTGGTAGACGGTAACCTTGAAAATATTAAATGTATTATTATGAATATACTATGAACTAATATGTCATGAAGCAAATTTAGGATTGGGGAAATCGTTGACTCGGATTTGGAAAGTTACAGCTAGTTTTTCGGAGTTGGCCTTATCATCGAACAAGCCTCTGTTTTAGGAACATTCCTTACAGTTCGTTTGAGACGGGGATGTTCCTGACATGCTTGCAGGGAGCTTAAAGTTATATGTGATAACCAAAATGATAAAATTCAATTTCAGTTGAGCATTAACCTGAAATAGTGTCCAATCGCCATGCGCCGCCTATCACTTCTTTATCGATTCGAAATGCATGCGAATAATCACTATTCAACAGTGCGACCATAACATCATCACTCTCTTGAACATCGCTCACTCGTATGATTGCAACTAATTGAGAATCATTCAGCGAACCGCTACGGATTGGTTTACGTTCGAAAACAATTTGAGGCATCAACGCTTTTGATTCATTCACTTTGATCGTCTGAAATCAAAATGACAACTGCAAATGCCGTTTTATGAATATGAAACAAAATCGAGATACTGGTTCATTATAAACCAAAAAAACGAAACTTGTCAGTATGGGCGTTGGCATAAAAATGAACATGCTCAAACATGCAAGAGGTGTGACATCAGAAGATATCTGTTACTAAGTCGATGTAGAATTTCTCTGATCTGTTACGGCGACCTCCGAATTAGACAATCGCAGGCAAAGAAATTGACATAAGCAATCATAAACATTCATATTTGGTTGGAAAACACTTTCAAATTTTGAAGTAATGTTACACTTCGACAGGAATCGCATAGCCAGAATAAGTTGATAGAAATGGTTTGCATTGATGGAACGGAACTTACCACTTTGGCTTCATTCAAAACAATGGCCGCTGGAAATCGCTCCTGCTCCTCATCATCACTGCCTTGACGATAAAACAGTCGGGACTGCCGATCTTCGGCCAACAAGCGCAAATGATACGTTCCTGCATCAACCGATNTCAACGTTCTTATCCATCCGGTCAACGGATCAATCATAAAATCAGCTGACTGATTCAGAAGTGAATAGTAGATCTGTCCATTCAAACCGATATCAGCATCTGATGCTTCGACTTGAACGACATCCGAGAATGCGGGCAACTGCAATGAACTTACATCAAGAATGAATGAAAATCAGTCACGCAACATAGTTTGCAATCGGCAAACTGCACCCAAAAAAATATCATCGCTGACTGAAACCTTGGAAACGTTCAATACGAAAACTTAAAAATTGACCAGAACCGATGGGATTTTTTGTTGTTGGTAGCTGAGCGATTTTAAATTTTTTTGACAATAATTTTTCGAGGCATTCGAATTATGATTGCAAGAATCAACAGAAGTAATCAAAGTGACCGAAGATAGCGAACAGTTCATAGGCAGTGCAGTTCAGTGGATGGACACAAACCTGATCGGTGATTTGAGCGTGGTAATGGTCTTGCTCGAAGATGGGTCTCGCATCGTTTTGGTCAGTTATCGTCAAGATGACACTTGTTGTCGTTTCCAAATTTGCTGCATCTTTACGACGACACGTTGCTTTCACAAGAAATTCGTGACGGTCCTGGATACAATTACATCATAATCATGTACGTATTAATTAGCATCCATGAGGGATGGACATCTGATGAACGGTGCAGATTAATACAAAGGAAGTCTTGATATATTCATTGGGTGACCTCCAGAGAAATGCATAAACGATATCTTGTGATGATGGTCGCTTAAAAAGGATGAAAACCAGAATAAGAAAAGACCGGAAAGCATGGTTTGGCGTGTTAACAAGATTGAGCGATCGGTTGATGAAAGCGTCAGAATGCTACGAGCAAATGCTACTTCACCTAATAGGGTAACCTCAACACCTTCTGAATAGATAAAATTAGAACATTTTTACTTTTTTCGTGGTCTATATCAGCTTGCAGTCTTACTAATCGATGTAAAGCGTGTGTTATTGAAAATTCGAATTTAAAAATCCAAAGGATTTCAACGCCGCAATAATGAACTGAAAGCAAGTGCTTATTCACCAGATTCTTCTCAATTCATTACCTTCAATGATGAGCGACTTCTTAACCTATGAAGATGAGAGAATCTCCGTCATTCATCAGTGTATTCTCAATTGATCGGAAACGCTTTATGATCTACCATGAGTCTGAGTACACAAACCCTTCGATAGTGAAA